AACTGCATGACGCTGACTGACCTTGGGCTGCAAGGCCCAGATTGAGTTCCCCAACCTTCTGAATGGTTGGACTCCACAACATTCTATTATAGATTTCCCACGCCCTTTCTTTAAAGATGTTCAAAGTTTGGAACTCAGAAAAATACCCCTGATGACCACCTCTGCCTCTGCAGAGTGGGTCCAAAGACTGACACAGGAGGTCTGAGAGTGTGGGGTGGGGATGACTTATGGGGGTCCAGGGGCACCCTCACGGCTACCTTCCCAGCACTTGAGCGATGGTGGCTGGGTCGGGAGCAGGCGTGGCTCTCCTTCCTGCGGTGGATCGAGGTCCAGGCTCTAGGTACATATATATTTATGATTGTCATCTCTTCCTCTTGAATTGTTCCCTTTACACGGATGTAGTGGCTTTCTTTGTCTCTCTTAATCAGTTTTGGTTTTAAATATACTTTGCAAATAAGATAGCTACCCCTGTTTTTTTCTGGGCTCCTGTCACATGGAGAACTATTTTACATCCTTCCACTTTCAGTCTATGAGCTTCTTTTTGCACTAGTTGTGTTTCTTGTATACAACATATTGTTGGATTTTGCTTCTTAATCCATTCTGCCAGTCTATTTTCTTGATTGGTATATTGAGGCCATTGACATTGATATAACTGATATGTATATTGGTATAACTGATATGTACTGACTTATTATTGTCATGTTATTGTCCTTTTGTTGGCTCTTTTTAATTTTTCCCTCTCTCTTTAGTTTCTTGCCTTGCCTAATTGATTTGCTCTGAACTAAGTCATGGTATTGTGACCTTTATTGTCTTTTTGTAGGATATTGTTTAGAATTCCTTGTAGTGCTGGTTTTATATTCATGAAGTTTCTCAGGTGTTCTTTGTCATGGAAGTATCTTATTTCCCCATCCATTTTGAAAGAGAGTTTTGCAGAATATATCAGTCTAGATTGGAGGTTGTTTTCTTTTAGCACTTGAAATACCTCCCTCCAGGCTCTCCTTGACTGGAGGGTTTGTGTTGAAAATCTGCTGTGATTCTGATGGGCTTTCCTTTGCATGTGATTTGTTTCTTTTCTCATTGCTTGTAGCATTTTGTTCTTCTGTTGGGTTTTTGGGGTCTTGATTATTATATATCTAGGTGTAGATTTTTTTTTGATCTTAGCTAGTTGGAGTCCTATGTGCCTCACTTATCTGTATGTCGAATTCTTCCTGTCTGTTTGGGAAGTTTTCTTTCATTCATTCTGTGAACAGCTTTATAAAGTCATTTGTATTTTCTCCTGCTACTTCATGGATTGCTATCCGTCTTATTTTTTTTTTAATTTTTAAATTTTTTTTTCCTCATTGAGTTTATTGGTACATTTTAGGTATACATTACAGTTACATTCATCATTGGGATCTTGTACCTTTACATGACAGGTCTTGGTTCTCATTTTTTCTCCTTGTCCCTTATCAGTCTCATATTCTTCTTCTTTGCATCATCTAGGAGTTGTTGGATTAATTTCTTATGATCCCTTGCTGATTTTAAGAGACCTGTCTTTTCATAGTCACTGACTGCAATCGTATCTTCTATATCTGAAATTCTATCTTCACATTCATTTATCCTGCTGCAAAAACTTTCAGTAGAGTTTTTAATCTCCTGGATATCTGTTTGAATCTGTTTTATGGATTCCATTTCTTTCCTTTGTTGGGCATTCATGGTTTCCATTTCTTTCTCATGCAGACCTTCATGACTTGTATCATGGTCCTGAGCACATCTATTTTTTTGTTAGTTTCTGTTTTGGAGTCTCTAATCATGTCTTTCATTTTGCTCACCATCTCTGTATTTATCTGGGAAATTATTTCTGTTTTGAATTTTTCTAGTGCCTGATTGATTTGTTTTGTTACTTCCTGTGCTATAAATTCAGTGTGTCCTGGTGGTTGACTCTCAGACTTTTCAACCTCATTTCCCCTAGAGTTTGCCATTGGTGAACTGGAAGTCTGTCTTTGTGGCTTGCTTAAGTGTTTTCTCATTTTTATTTCTGTGGTGGGGTTGTCCTTGGTTTAGTTCCTTGGTTATTGCTTATATCTTTCTGATATAGTTTTGCTTTAGCTTTTGAGTCTCTAATGACTCATAGACATTCTTATTTTCATAGTATCAGGACAACTCATTAAATCAATCACAACCCTTTAGCCCAATTGATGAAACCAGCAAAACAATAGGATCGAGCACAGCATACAAATTGAGCATTTGTGGTAGTCATTAATCTGTCACCTTTAAACCACATGAATTAAATCAAAATCAAGGAGCAGCCCAAAATATGTTTACAGTGAATAAACTCTTCAATATAGCATCTTTACCCTTTAGGATGGGGGCTTAGACCCTTAGGACGAGAGGAGTAGACATGTAGAAGAATTGAAGAACGTTTCAAGTGAAGCCAGAGGACACAGGGTGACCACACAAACTTTAGGAAACTGTTGAAGACAGGAGAGAAAGACAGAATGCTAGAATAATCAAAGAAGAGATGAGTTAGGACAGGAACAGGAACAGGAAGAGAGATGGAGAATAATATGGGGGAGCAAGAGACTGAGTTGGTAAAAGAAGACAGAAAAGAGAATTTCCAGAGTGGAATGAGGAAAACAAAGAAGAAAAAGAATTTGAAGGGCTTCTTTCAGACTATATCTCTGCCGTTAAAATAGGCAATGTGCCCAGTAATGTGCAGAACGAAGTCATTTAGTCTCAGCTAACCGATGGCTGACCCCTGAGAATCAGGCTGAATTCAGGCTGCAAGGCCCAAATTGATTGAGCTCCCTGACCTCCTTCAGGGTTGAACTCAGCAAGGTTCTACTCCAGATCCCTCTGCCCTTTCTCTGAAGATATTCAAAGTTCTGATGGAAGGTGGTGATCTCTCCAACTTGCCAACTATGGAGATCTGATGTGCTTTTATTGCAGTTGTTCACTTCTCTTCTATCTTCTGGAGCTCAGAAAAATGACCTTTATGACCACCTGTGCCTCTGCAGAGTGGATCCAAGAACTGGCACCATCAGGAGGCCTGAGAGCCTGTGGTGGGGGGTATGTGTGCAGATATTGCAGAGGTGCCCCAGTCCTCACCGGTTGGCTTGAGGCAGGACAGAGCAAGGACGGGATATCTGCATGGCTGACCTGGACCTCCTTCTTCCACTGGATGCTACAGTATTATTGATTAAACCAAAAAGTTGGAAGAAATGACATAAACGTCCATCTGGAAGAGAATAGATAAATATTGATATATTTATATAATAACATAGTTCGTCACTGGAAATGAATAAATAAGAGCTAATGAATTAAATGTGCAAAAAGCATAGAAAGTCATAAATAGACTATGCTGTCACTTATATAAAGTTAACTGAGCAAAATAGTATTATTATATATGTAATAATAGAAGAAATGACAAGTGTTTATTTACTTTTGATTTCACAAATTTATGCCCAGAATAGTACCTGAAAATTAGGCATTTAATACTGTTTGTTGAATGAAAGAACAAAAAGTTACTGTATAAATAAAATAAGTTAATAATTATAAAGAAAAGTGGGAGAGAATAAAACCTATATTTTTGTTACTGCTTCTTGATTCATCATCCAATTTACTTAATATCATATTAGAAGATCCCAAGCTGGGTGTGGTGGCCCAGCCTGGGCTGTTACATAGTGAGTTCAAGATCAACCTAAACTACATAACAAGATCCTGTCTCAAACAAAACAAAACAAACAAACAAGTAAACATCCAAAATTTAACAGCCTGGATATCTTTGAGGAGGAAAATCAGGAGGAGCATGGGATTGTGGAAGATAACAGAACTTCAGCCTTTCTTTAAAAAAAAAAAAAAAAAAAGGTCATGAGTAGATATAACAAACTGGGCATGGTGGCATATGCATGCAACCTAAGGTGAGACACAAGGTTTGCAAATTTGAGCCTCACGTGGACAACTTAGTGACTTAGCAAGACACTGTCTCCAAAAATTGAAAAAGGGCTGGGTCTATAGCTCAGTGCAAAGGCCCTGAGTTCGATTTTCAGTAACACACACACACACACACACACACACACACACACACACAGATATAACAAAATTTAAATTTTGTTATGTGATGCTTAGACAAGATTTAGTTTTTTAATTCTTTCTAACGCATTTGAAATGTTTCTAATGAAAAATTCTTTGAATGAATGAAATTTCAGAATCCTTATCAAAGTGAAATATTTTCCTAGTGTTTAAATAACTATAAGAGCTATTTATTTTGCAAATTTAAATTAGCTTAGATACCCTTTGGTATTTCAGAAATAATTAGCAACAAAGGCCTATTCATTTCCCACTGAGTTCCAGAATCTCCAATGACACATCCTTCAAGAACACCCCAAACACCCCAGATACCCAGGATACAGGATCCTAATGAAACACCAAGATTTTATCCTGTTGTTAAAGAACCAAAAGCCATAGATCTAAAGGTACACAAAACAACCAAGATATAAAGCCTATAGTTTGTATCCTTTAATATTATTGAATGAAATGTTTTAGTTTCTATTACATGTTTTTAAATGTACATTTTTAAATTGTTATAATTCATTTAAAAATAGTATTTAAAAGCTGGGATTTAGCTCAGTGGCACTGCACCTGCCTTGCAAGTGCAAGGTCCTGAGTTCAGTCCCTAGTACTGGGGGGTATGGGGGGGATAGTAATTTACCATAATGATGTTTTTCCTGGTTAAGAAATAACTTCTTTACAATTAAGTAGTGTAATTAAAGATGATCAGAAGGTGTAAGAATCATTTTAAGTTATATTTTCTTTAATCCATGTGCTACAGATCTAACAATCTTGTTATGTTTTCTAACTTGTATGTGAGGTGTTTGAGATTTGTGACTTCATATGATTTCACAATGTGTCACTCACAGCATGAAAATGTTTGAGCTGGTTTAAATGTCAGAGAGTTTTAATTTACTTGTGAAGTTCACACTACAGATAGTAATTGCAATGTTTGGCTGCTTCTTTTTTAGAGTCCAAGAAAGAAAAAAACAAGACAGTGCAAGTGCCCTTCTGAGTGTCATGTTGGTTGGGTAATGGATTCCAGAGATCACGGGCCAAGAACAGCTGCTGTCAGGTATCATATTTGTCATACATTGCTTTTGTGTTCTTGATTTGAAATTTGTTTTAAAAAGTAGATAGTTAGAAATATTTTATAATTAATATAAATTATAGTGAAAATATACCAAAGAAGGGGAACTAAGCAGGACAGTAGTATTGTAAGTACATAAATAGATAAATAATTCAGTGGGACAATTTGTTTTTTATTTGAATTATATTTCATAGATATTGCTCCTAAGATTTGTAAACCATATCAGTCATGAAAGTTGTCTTTGGAAAGATTCTGGATTCTTAGTGGCTTTTCGTAGCTTGTTAATGGATATTTATTGAGGGAATGTATGTGCTCCGTAATCTACTTAAATTATATAAAGAATGAGACAAAGCACATTATTTTGGATTTTTCCTTTTTTTTTTTTTTGGTACCTGGGATTGAACTCAGGACTTTGTGCTTTGTGGCAGGCAGCAGCACGCCTGAGCTAAAACTCCAGCCCTTGTGTTTTTCCTTTTGAGAGAAACAATTTAAGATAATCTATTAGCAGGAGGTATTTTTCTTTAATTTTTAGGAATGATTATTATTATTATCATCTCAAAAGAGATGATAGTAGAAACTATTAGACTACCAGTTATGTGCAAAGAAGCCAGGCATGGTGGTGCACACCTATAAACCCAGCACTCGGGAGGAGGCTGAAGCAGGAGGATTGCCTCAGGTTCAAGGCCAGCTTCAGCTACATAGTTAATCCAAGGCTAACCTGAACTACAGGGAAAGTCCCTGTCTCAAACAAACAAACAAATAAACAGAATTGATATGTTTTATCCTATAGAGGTAACACAGAGGTGATTTACTATTCATTGGTTTGTATTTCTTTAAAATTTATATCATTTTGTATTGAATATTTTTAGAATAATTATCTAACAATTTTTTTCTATTCAAAAACAACTTTCAAAACAAATATTTTTTGAGTCATTACTAAAAGAGAAGGTTTAGTTTTATGTAAAGAGGTGCTTGGGAGTTTATCATAATCTCAAAAATCTTGAAATGTATCTTTATATGGATACTCATTTGGCAATTTTACATTGTTCTCATTGACTATATTGTCCATTAATGGAAAAATGTGTATATGTCAGGAGCAAGGCAAGGATGTTCACTTTCACCATTCCTATCCGATTCAGTTCTTTAAACTTTAGCTAGAGCAATTAAGCATGAGAAAGTACAAATTTAAAACGCCACTGTGAGATACTACTTTACACCCACTAGGATGGTATTGTGAACTGAATTGTGTCCTTTCAAAATGCATATGTTTAAGCTGTAGGTCTTGGCATGTCTGTATTTGGAGCTAGGGCTGTTAGTGAAGTAATAAAATTAAATGAGATCTTGAAGGGTGGGGTCCTAATCTGATAGGGTTTGAGTCTCTCTAAGAAAAGGAAGAGGTATCAGAGATCTCTGTGTGTGTCTGCTGCTCAGGAGACAAGTCAAGCGTGAACACAGCAATGAGGCAACTATCTGCAAGTCAGGAATAAAATTTTACCAAAACCAATCCAGTTAGCATCGTCTATGCTAGCCTATAGAATTGTAAGGAAATAATTTGTTGTATAAAGCCGCCCAATCTGTGCTATCTTGTTGTATAGCAACCTCAGCTAATATATGGGTGTATGTAACTTTTTTAAAATCTGAAAATAAATATTTGTGAGGATGTGGAGAATTTAGAATCCTCTTGTATTGCTGGTAGGAATGTAAAGTGCAGCAGCCACTGTGAAAAACTGACATTTTCTCAAAATTTTGTCAAAATGTAGATATAGAAGGATAAACATTGTATGACCCCACTTACATGAAGTACCTAGAATAGTCAAATCCATAGAGACAGAAAATAGGATGAAGGTTGCTAGAGAATAGGAGAAGAGTAAAGGAGTAGGTATTGTGTAAAAGTATAGTTTTGGGGAGAACGATGAAGTTTGAGGTATAGGTAGTAGTGATGGTTACATTATATTGTGAATGGTATGTTTGCTTGTGCACGCACACACACACACAGCACAAGTGCACACCCACCTCTCTGCAAGTAAACACCCCCAAAACTTACCACTGCTTTTATTAGAAGTCTTTAAGTATTAGATAGAAAAGTTTTTATATCAGGCTCATAGTGACAAATAAGTTTCCAAAATGCCATTTTTGTTTGAAAACTGAAATTTTTTTTAAATTACTTTTTTTTTTTTAAGGCAGGGTCTCACTATGTAGTTGAGACAGCCTGGAACTCACTATGTAGCCCAGGTTGGTCTCGAAATTAGTGCAATCCTCCTGCCTCAGCCTCCCAAGTGCTGGGCTTAAAACTGAAATTTTATCATTGGAAATATTACTTTTTAAAATTGATGTTAAAGACTCATTTTCAAAGAAGCATGTGACAAATGATGAAGCCTAAATAACCATGGTTTGTTGATTGGTCTTCCATTATACTTTAATATGTTATACACGTGTTTTGTGTTTCTGTGCAAGCCTAGAAATTGTGGTTAAAAAACACATAACCTAAAATCTATCATCTTAACCATTTCTAAATGTACAGCTCAATACATCCACATAGTTATTAAACAGATATCCAGAACATTTTCATCCTGTAAAACTGAAACTTCCATTATACTGTTCACACACACAGACAAAGATGTATATTCAAGGCTTGAGATTTCATAAAGTTCATTTTTCTGCTGTATCAAGAACAATATTGAAGACATAATCTTAAGTTAAATAAATAGGACCTACATGTAAATACCGAATAGTTTCTCTGGTGTAAGAAACTGAATGTATAAATAAGGATCAATGTATAATAGATAATGTGAAATAGGAGGAAAAGGTCTAAAGGAGTAGGGGAAGTGGGAGGGTCTGGAGAAAGAAAAGAAGGGAAAGGAAAAAAATGGAAACAAAGTCTTTATAAATAGGGAGGGGTGGAGGGGTTGAAGGAGGGCAGGGGAATGGGGAAAAAATAAGAACTAAGAGACATCATGTAAAGGTACAAATTCCCAATAACGATTGTCAGCATATTATATACCTAAAATGTACCAGTAAACTTTTTTTGGTACCGGGGATTGAATTTGAGTCCTTGCACTTATGAGGCAGGTGGCAGAACCATGGAGCTACATTCCCGGCCCACCAACAAACTTAATGAAAAAAAAAAAGTTGTGGTGGCTTAAGATGGAGCTGGCTTTTTTTTTTTTTTTCTTCATTGAAAGTGCATAGCACTGCACCTGCCTCTCAAGTGCAAGGTCCTGAGTTCAATCTCCGGTACCAAAAAAGAAAAAGTGCACAGCAAGAAAGAAATACAATGGCTAGTAAGTAAAATTTGGAGCTATTGCCTCAATTCACATCTGCAGATTTACATACCATTGCTTCTCTCTACCAACAGGACAAATTTCAATCCAGCAGAAAAGGCAAATAGTGTCTTAGCGCTATGATGAAAATAGTTGTGACCTTTCAGGCTTTCTGAAGGTTTTTGGGGGGCTGGGGATTTAGTTCAGTGGTTCTGCCACCTGCCTTGCAAGCTCAAGGACCCAAGTTTGAACCCCAGTACCCCCCAAAATAAAAGTAGGAAACGAGATTGATCTTTAAAAAAATTTTTTTTTAAAAAAAGATGGTTTTTGGGAAGCCATTGAGGGTCCACAGACCACATTTTGAAAACCAGCTATTTAAATCAGTGTCTAAGGAAGATCATTTTGATGGCAGGATAGAGGAGGGAGCGGGGGGCGGTGGTAAAAGAGAGCAGTTATTATATATGTGAAAGAGAGGAAGGCCTAAATTTGACTAATGGAGTACAGATGCAAAGGAAGGGACATTTTAAAGTAGAGTTATTTTTTATCAGCTTCTTCATTTACCTATTAAGCATAAGAAGCACTTCACATTGTATGCTATTAGTTGATTAGGGAATACTTTATTTCCCACTGCTCAGACATTCAATAGTGAAAAAATTGGATTATACACTTGCTTCTTGATACTTCAGTTTGAAGGCTTTCCTCCCCCTTCCTCAAATAGCAGTTCAGACCCTTCACCTTCAGAAGCTGCATCACTTGTGGGAAGCTGTGGATGTACTCCCCACTCACTCCCAAAGTTCCAGCATCCTTCTTATGAACTTTTGAAAGAAAATGGCTTTACCCAACAAGTATATCAAAAGTATCGTCAAAGATGTCTAAGTGGTAAGATGCTTGTCTTTTCCTATCTTTAAAGTAAAAATATAATTCTAAAATTCAAATTCTTTTAATATCGAGTTAAGATATTTTATATTGTTATGTTGCTTAATTACCTTATTATTTATACATTTCTTTTTTCATATTTTATACCTTAGACACATTAGGAAATAAACTTTGGTACAGTATAATCTTATTATTGATAAATGTTTATAATTTGAGCAGTGTGTCATCAAGTGGATTAATTTTTGTCCTCTAGAAGAAATCCAAATACATTTAAGATATATAAAATGTCTACTGTCTTGGATTTTTATTAGTGCATTTAACTTTAAAATATCTTTAACTTTTCAGAGAGAAAACGTTTAGGAATTGGACAGTCCCAAGAAATGAATACCCTCTTTCGTTTCTGGTCCTTTTTCCTCAGAGATCACTTCAACAAAAAAATGTATGAGGATTTTAGACAACTTGCTTGGGAAGATGCAAAAGAAAATTACAGGTCAAATATTATGTGATTTTTTTATACTTGGGAAGAGTTTTTACAATTAATTTAAGAAACAAGTACCAAAGTAACCTACTTTTGTACTATGAAAGTACACAACATATCTCAGGAGAGAACTATATTCATTGGCTATTACTGCATGACAAATTATTCTCAAATTCAAAAGATTAAAACTGTCAATATTTTTTAGGGTCAGGACCATAGGTAGTTCTGGCCCATGGTCTCTCATGAGGTTGCAGGCAAGGTGTTTGAGTGGGCATAAGTTGGCAAGACTTAGTTTGGGCCAGAAGATGCTTTTCAGGTTATTTCACATTGCTTTTAGCAGGGGCCTTCATTTCTGGCCACAGAAGCCTCCCCATACACTATTTTACAAGCATGTGTTGGGAGTATGCCTCCAGACTCAATTTGTTGGTGCAGACAATAAAGCACTCAGACAACAAGAAATCTCAACAAGGCTTTTTACTTCTGCAGAAGGGCACGAGCACTTGCTAACATGAGGCAACAGGGGCTCAGGGAGGCCATAGCAGGCTCTTTTTATTCCTAAACCCTGAGAAGCAGCTGATCTTTTTCCCTATCGGTTGGGTTGAAGGTTCACAATCTATCCCCATGGGCTAGTTTAAGTGACATGAAAGGAGAGCTTGAAGGGTTGCTAGACACGGATGGTAAGGGAAAGGAAGAGCGGGAATAGGGGGATGGAAAATCCCTGGCTGTTGATAAATCATCTTTGGTTGTTAGCTGTGTGCCTGGAATCTAAACTGAACAAACACATTTCATAATTCATTGTGCAGTGTGGGGAGAGCCTTGAGTGAACTAGAGTTCACGAAGGACACACTCACTCTCTTGTTCATAGTTTTTATAGAAAAGACCTTGTTTCTTATACACACACAACCCAGAACAAGTGATTTGAGAAAGGGCAGCTTCTAAGACGGATGCCTCAGCATCTCGTTTAACCTGTACTGACTTGAAAGTGACATACCATTACTTCTGCCACTTCACACCAGCCCCCATATAGCGTATGTAGGACGAACAAGGCCGGTCTTATATAACAAAAGACAAAAGATGGTATCAGTAGGAATCTTCTAAAGGCTGTCACAAGGTTGAACAAAATTATGAGATTTTTCTCATACCAGTCATTAATCGCCTTCCCTTACATGTGCATGTACCTCCCCACATGATGCCAGCTCAGAGCCAAACCAGTTTTTAAGATTTCTTGAGACAAGAAAAAGCAAAACTTCTCATGATTTGTCTGTCCCCGGATTTACCTATTCAATCTCATTTGTCCCACTAGTCCTGTAGTAGTGTAGGCAGCAGGAGATCGAGTTCATGCTTTTGGAATAACCAAGTTCTCTACCCTTTAGACACCTGTACATATTCTTGCCTCTGCTTTCACTCTTCTTCCTTCCTCTGCTTGCTTTGTTAACTCTTGTTACTTTTGTACTAGTTTAGACTTGCCTCCTTCACCGGTGGTTAGGGGAAGTTAGACCACACCAAGTGGGTGAGAAAGAACACAGAGAGTACTCACTCAGGCTCTTTATTCATGGAGAGAGGGAAAAAGGAAGAAAAGGTAGAAAAAAGGAAAAAAGATAATTTTCAACTCAATTGACCTAAATTTAGCACAGAAAGCTAGTTTTAACAGTGGATTTCTTTGTTTTATTTAGCGGATTCCTTTTGTATTCATATTTCAAATAAGAATTTATTGAATGAGATACTATAACCTTTGAGAGGAATAAGGTACTGCCTTATTCCTTAACAGCAGATGCATAACATGAGTACCTCTTTTCCCTCTCCTCTGTCCAATACTGACTTTTATAATTAATCTCAGAACTGTTTTATGCTCTTTCTTACTATGCTTTTCAGATTTACACTCTGATTTGTGGCTTTTAAGCTTCCCCTAATTTAACAAAGTTGGAACAAAAAGCAGAATCTGCCATTCTGAATTTCAGTGTTGTCATTCAGGCTGTGGTTTGTTACCCATAGTGGGTTGTGAAATCAACTTAATACTTCTGTCGTGTTATAAGATACAGTAGAAAGTATCAGAGACTACACTGAATTTAGTTTCACAATTTATGCATACTTCCAAGTTAAGAATTATTTTGTAAGGCATATTTTATACGTGCACATATATAGGTGCATGTATTGACTTCATTACAAGGTAATATATTTTTTCATATTATTGGATCTAGGTAGAAAAGTTTGAAAGCTGTTGCTTTGGTCCCAGTATACTTTGCTATTTTTGCATCGTTCCTTAGGATTTTCTAATAATTTCTCTTACCTTGTTTCCACCCAACTATAGGTTGGCATTTCCTCTACTATTGATGTCCACATAGTTCTGTGTATATTTCTCATACATAGCTTTTAAACACTATTTCATACTTTTATGTCTGTTTCTGTAATAATCACCAGTAGACTAAATTAGTTGCTTCTTCTGCAGAGATAGTTAAGTACCTCCTGACTTTGAAATCAGACCTTTGTTTGAATCTCAGTCCATTAATTTACCATGACCTCAATGGGTTACGCTTCTGCTACTTATTTATAAAGCAAGAGAGATTAGGTTAGATACTTTCATAGTGTTATTATACAGTTCTTTCTAAGTATGTATGTTTTCCACTTCTTATAGGTAGTGATAAATGATAACTGAGAGGGCTAGCCATTTGCCTCTGTTCTTTACTTTATTGCGATGCATATTTGGTTTGTGTTATCAACACCATGTTCTTTTTTTCAATTAAATTTTATTTTATTTTATCCCATTCCTCTCCTCAGGCCTCCTCCCCTCCCTATGTACAAAAGCTTTGTTTCCATTTTTTCCTTCTACTTTCAGTACTTTTCTTGTCCCTTCCTTTCTCCCTTCCCCTCCCTTATTCCCCTTCACATTTGAACACGTTCTTCCCATTTGCCAACATCCATTATACATTTTAGTCCTTATTTCCACTTTGGATTTCTCACACCAGAGAAACAATGTGGTACTTAAACATATGTGTCAGATTTATTTAACTTCAGAGTATGGTCTCAAGATCCGTGCATTGAGCTATAAATGTCTGAAGCTTCTCTTTATGGCAGAGAACTACTCTATTGTATAAAAAAACACATCTTCTTTACCCACTCCTCAGTTGTTGGACATCAACTATTACCAATTGTGCTGTTATAAACATGAGTGTGCATATATCACTGTGGTAGTTTGCTTTTATTTCTTTAGGGAAGATACCAAGAAGAGGTATAGCTGGGTGAATGTTACCTCTAGTTTTAGTTTTTGAGAAATCTTTACATTGATTTCCACAGTGGTTGCAGCAGTCTGCACTCTCATCAACAGTAGAGAAGTGTTCCTTTTTCTCCATAGCCCCACCAGCATTTGTTATTGTTTGGTTTTTGTTTTGTTTTGTTTTGGTTTTGGGGGGGTTTTTTTTGGTACCAGAGATTGAACTTGGGTCCTTGAGCTTGCAAGGCAAGTGGCAGAACCGCTGAGCTAAGTCCCCAGCCCTAGTTGATTTCTTGATAGCAGCCTTTCTTTCTGGAGGGAGACAATTAACACTGTATTCTTGGTCTTTGAAATAATGTTAAGAAGCAAAATTCCAAATATTATCTATTTAATGAAAAATTGTATTGAATATCGATTGACTTTTTCCAATAATTAAGAATTTTTGGATTTCTTCAAAACATTTAACTTGATAAAAGAAAAATGAGGGAGAAACAGACAGAAGAGAGAGACAAAATAGAAGGAAAAGGAGGCAGATCTAGGCTTCATCCCCCAAGATTTTTATTTCATTGGTTTGGATCAGAGCCTGGGGATGACCTTTTTAAAAAGCTATCCAGGTAATTCTAATATGTAAGTCAGGTTGAAAACTTCTGATATCCACATAATATGATCAAGACAAGTTTGTAATTCTGAGCTGGTGTTTCCTTAGTCCTTAGTTGGTGTAGCCTTCAGTAATGAAAGCTCAATCAGTAGTATTTCAGGCTGCCAAAAAAGTACATAGATATATAGATAGCAGTGCTGCCTTTCTCTTGGTAGCTTGTCAAGAAACCTGTTAATTCTTTCATACATTTAGTCTCTATCTTAACACACACACACACACCCTGCTTCCTGTGTATAACTGTCAGCCAACTCTATGTTACCAGCAATAAAGAATTTTAACCTATTCCTCTGAGGCACACTCAAGATGTGAGGATTCTAACTGAGAAATCTTAATTGTGTGGCATGTTTTAGTTAAGTTAGTGAGGCACAGTCCTTTCACTTTTGCCTTAATGGCCTTGTCCACTCCTGGGTTCTACTTATCACCAATGGTTAAAGGTTAGGCCCATATAATTTGTTGACCCACTGTCTAGAACTTCTCTCAGGTTTGTAAGGTATTTATAGGAAGAAGAAAAGCAGTTTTGTTTTCTGATTTATGTAGTGATTATAGCTCTTTTATCAGAATATTTGCAATTAATTGTACTTTATAACTAAGCAGAGGTACTCTCTGAGCGGCCATGGAGTTAAGTTTAAACATTATAGGTGAATGGCTTAATTACATCTAGGGTTCACTGCACAAAAGTATGGTCTTCTTTCTCTAGAATGAAGATTATATTCAAGAGTATTTAATATGATGGGCAACTCACCATTATAAATTTTAGCTTAAGAAAACTCTAAAACATTTCCAGTGTTCCTAAATCTTTTGATTGTTTCTTCAGAAATACTTGGGAGAGATGCAGTAACCATCTAAAGAAGCCAGACTCTTAATGGCAAGGGCTGCCTCTCATTCTGCAGATTCTTGTATAGCTTTGTTGTGTACTATGACTGATTAAAAAAAGAAAATTGTGGCGAAACCATCTAAGTGGCACAACCCATTCTGAACCCCTCTTGTTGCTCAGGAGCTATTCTCATTCCCCATTTCTCTTCCCTATCCTTAGTCCCTATTCCTATTCCCCAGTAAATTTTTCTACTCTTAAAAAAAAATCCATTACTACCAACATTTCAGTTAAGGATCTGTGTGCTAAAAATTTATCTTGTTTTGGATTATTCATGTTGTTTGCTGGTATCAATGCTATGATATGTTTGTATTATTATACCAAAAAGTTTATTATAACCTTTTTTCTTTTCTATGCATAGGTATGGGTTAGAATGTCTGTTCAGGTTTTATAGTTATGGACTGGAAAAAAAATTCAGACAAGAAATTTTTAAGGATTTCCAAGAAGAAACCAAAAAAGATTATGAATCTGGTAAAAACAAAAACAGTTTTTATTCTGTTTGGAATTTATAAACTTGAACTTGTTGATAAATAGGGAAGGAGTTCATAGTATTTATCTTCAGAATGCACCATTTCAAACCTTTATGCTGCTTTTTAAGTTCTTAGGTAAAGGATGGGGTACCTCAGAGTAAAAAAAAACCTTTCTTGTGAAGTGTGGAAAAACACTACCCCTAAGTATTTCCTTTGTGGAGGTATATTTTGTCATTATCCTCTTAACAGACATTTCTACTCACCCGTTCCATGACATGAAAACAGTTGCACTTGACAAGGCAGACAACCAGAGCGGTGAAGAGGGCAGGCTCTGAGCCAGATTCCACTGCCTCCCCTGTCCAGAACCAAGAGGCTGTGTGACCTTGGGTAGATCCCTCAGCCTTGCCAGCCTTTGTTTTCTTATCTGTTATATCTACACCACATCACAAGATTGAATATCTTTCAAATTAGTTTCCCACATAATAAAGCACTTAAATAATACCTGTTATATAACAAGTGCTATTTATATTTATATTAATTCATTGCCTGCCTTAGTCTAGATAAAGCATATTTTTTAAAAAAGACAAGATCTGGGTATGGTGGTGCACACCTGTAATCCCAGCACTCAGGAGGCTGAGGCAGGAGGATCACCCCAAGTTTGAGGCCAGCCTGAGGTACATAGTGAGTTCAAGTCCAATCTGAATTACTTGGTGATACCTTGTCTCAAAAAATAAATAAATAAACAAACAAACAAACAAACAAATAAATAAATAAATAAAATAAAAGGGAATATTGGAAGATAAGTGGGTTATTGCAGGCTGGATCATGCGTGACATGAATCTCTTTAAATTCCATATAATTTATAGTGTATTCTTTGTTCTTAGGTCAGCTGTATGGACTAGAAAAATTTTGGGCATATCTGAAATATTCTAAATTTAAGACACACTCTGTTGACCAAGAGCTTCGGAAATACCTCTGTACTTTTAAGAAGTTAGAAGATTTCCGCATTGATGTAAGTTTAAAGTTCTTTTCCTTTATTCATTTTATTGCTCATGTATTTCTAGAGTAACCTGGCCAGTTCTATCACTGAGAGGTCCCGGCTCTACAATCCTGTTTCTTGCCTTGTTTGAATGTAAGCTAAGAATTCAGGCCTTCTCTTAAATACAAGAGAAAATTGGAGAAGGTTACTGTTTGACTTGCCTCAGAGTAAAAATACTAGTCTAGCAGTGCACAGTTCTTTGTGCCCACTGAAAAGCCCTCAGAGCTGACTTATTTTACATGTAGAATCCGTCTGCATATCTATTCTGTTTTTGCTTGCAGTCTGAATGGGTTTGGGGGCTTTATGGATACTAATGTTTGAAGATGTTTCAATTTAGTATCATCAGTAACACTCGCTGATCTCCTTATCATAGATGAAACCTGATGAAACTTTGAACTTGCTAAAGGTTAGCTGATGTGGTGTGGCTTTCCCGCTGCTGCTTTCATTCATCTGTTACTTAAACATTACCAAGCCTAGAGTAAGAGTTTAGTGCTGAGAAAGGAACTCGAGTTACAAAAGCTTCACAGTTGACAGAAATAGAATAAAGGAGGAAAATGGCCTTACTGAAACATTTTCTTGGAGGCAAGGAAGACAACCTTATGCTTTTGTGCCTTTATATGTAGCTCAGGCCCCAAAATAAGAGAGCAACTTTATAAGCATATGTTAAATGAAAGAATTAGCAAGCAAGTTCAAGTAAGCTGATTTAGTTGGGGGGCAAATTTAAGTTTAATGCTTAAGTTACTGTTAAGTTTTCATGATACTAGTAAAATTGACAGAAGCACTATCATAATTTCCCACCTCATTAGAAAAGTCTGGCCTTATACTTTGAAGGGAGGATAAGTAGTAAAATTATCAATCATTTTGTGTTTCATGACTAGCAGCCCCCAGTTACTGAGGAATTTGGAAGAAAAAGGTATTCATCTACTTCTGCTGAGGAGAGTAATAGTCCCAGCCTTCTGTCTAATTCTTCTACAAAGCCACCAAATGCTGCTAAGCCTACATCTCCCACGCAGCTTCAGGTGCCCGTAAACTCCCAGAAGGCGTCCTTCACAGGAGTCCAGAGAGAGTTCACACCAGAACCATGCTGCTTCCGTTTCAGCAAGTGATGAAATTCCGGAGAAACAGGCTCTTACAAAAATTGTGTTACCTTGAAGTCAACATTTATACATCAGTATTGGAAAAAAGTCTTCTGATATTTAATTGCGATAATCAGAAAAAAAGAAAAATAGTAGCATTTTTTTTTAAGCAAGATAAATTGCCAAAGTATTTTCCCTGGTTTCACAAACATAGGGTAGTTTTGGTGACCTTTTCTGGAGTAATGCATTTTGGCCTCAGTATTTTTCTAACACATTGTTTATAAGAACAGCATTCCTTAAATATGTTCAAAAACAACACAAGGAATGCCTCATATTTCAGCTCGTGCTCCTTAAGATATAGTGTGTTTTATTCAGCTCTTCTATAGAGCTCTCTTGATGATCCAATTATTTCCCTGTCAGTTCATATTGGAACTTATAGATTACTTATGTATTTTTTAAATTCAGAGAAAATATGAAAGATACATTTACTTTTTCTTTCAGATGTATGTTTTTTTTGGGGGCGTGGTTTGTATGTGTGTTTTTTGGTACCGGGGATTGAACTTGGGACCTTGAGTTTGCATGGCAGGTAGCGGAACCAATGAGCTAAATCCCTGGCCTTAGATGTATAGTTATAAAGAAAACTTTTTTTTCTTACAAAAGTCAAAATTTATGTTGAAGTATATGGACTTTTGATGCCCTTTCCAACATAGTCCTATCTCATGATTTTCATAGTTGATGTGGAGTTTTCTGAACATAAACTGGTATAAACTGATTTTCTGGCATAAACTGGTTACATATTAGGGGAGTTTTACTTGTGTGATCTGTATAAACTTGTAATTGAAAACTGCATTGGTTTTGATTAGAATATTGTCCTAAATAAATTAAAACTACATTGAATGTATCTGCTTTGTATATCCGCATATATGTAACAGTCAGATCAATATTAAAGGAATAATGTTTTTATTTTAATTTTGTATTTTGTTCATAAATGTTTTTAAGAGTTACAACAAATTGGTTTCTAATTTTACTGTAATTGATGTAAATGATAGTTTTAGGGTTTTGTGGGGTTTAAAAAAATAAAGCACTTATACTAAATTGGTTGAATTGATTTTTAATGATTTTTTAAATTTAGCATATACTTTGGAATATGTAATACGTCCTGCTAGAAGACCATTATATTTTATGAATGAAGTTTCAATGATAAACATATCCATTTTTACAATATGATTCACAAATATTTTATTGACAAGCAGCTAGTTTCAGTACAGTACAATCATTATTTTCTTTTTAAGTCAACTGGATGTCTTGTTCTTATAAATTGATACTGAAATTCATAGCTTCATGTAAATGGACTATCCATCAATAGATATTTTTTATTTCCCACATGTAAATTGTAATCTGAAAGTTTTATAATATTTACTATGCGGGATAGTATTGATGTTTTAATTTTAGGAAATATTCAAATTTGAATATCCAGAAAATCAACTTTACTTACAAATGAAAGAGGGTGGATGTAAAACAAGCAGTAGATTAGAATAATAAATCCTTAAGTATTTTCTTAAGTGGTTATGTAGTTCTGGGTTTTCAGCGAGAAATTCCAAACCATGGTTATTATCTTTAAGTGGTTTCTTGAAATAATTAAATTTTTTCCATATCCTTTTTTGTTAAATACAAGCATGTAAAACCTGTGTTTAACCTAATATTATTTATATTCAACTAAATACTCAAGTGCAAATTTAATTAGGAAATTTTATATTTTTGTGGGATTGTGATAAGCCTTGTGGTGGGTATTAATTAGTAATTTTATTTGGATTATAAAAGTAATGCTTGTATATCAGGAAATTAAAGAAAACAATAAAGTACCCTTTTTAAAAAGGAAAAAAAGTTAGTATCATGACTTCTATCTTTACATACAGACTTGTGACCTGCTTTTTTTCTTAATGGAGTTGAAAATTTTCTGTTGTCATTAGTTTATCACATCACAAATTTTACCAGTTATGTAGTGTTCCAACACATGGGTGCACAATAGTTTAGCCAATTGCCTATTGTACTTTCATTCTGGCCAGGCTTTGGCTATAAAAGATTTAATTATTATTATTTTTTTTTGAGACAGGGTCTTGCTTTGTAGTGCAGGCTGGCCTTGAATTCACTATGTAGCCCCCTTGCTACATATGCTCACCGTGAACCTCCTGCTTTAGCCTCCCCCATGGGAGGGATTAGAAGCCTGTGCCACAATGCTGAGCTAAAGATTTTTAATTTTTAATATCCTTACAGACCAATCTTTGTGTAGAAACTTGGAGTTCATATCAGTCTGTTTGCTAGAGAAACAGATATAACACAAGATATACAAATATAAGAATTTGCAAGGTTGGCTTACAGTGGCCAGAGTCGGATGTGAAAGAGTGCAGAGGGTCTCTCTGCACACTGGAGATCCAAGGATTCAGATGAAGGTCTGGAGCTCACTGCAGAGTCTGTGTCAGGAGGTTGATGTGTCTGCCCTGGAAGCCAGGAGATGACATTGAAGGAACAAACAAATTTGACCTTCATTTTACCCTTTGTACCACCCAGGTGATGGGCTACCCTGTCAGGGTTTTAGCTTAGTGGTACCAGGCTTGCCTGGTAAGTGCAAGATCCTGAGTTTGATCCTTGGTACTGGGAATAAATCAATAAATAAATGAAATTTAAAGTTATACCCCTTAAAGAAATTCTAAATGTAAAAATTAAAGAATTACTATTCATTGAAAAGAGAAACATCTTTGGCTATAAGTCTGTTTATATGGCCCTATTCAAAATTTAAGTCCCTAGAGATCCTAGACACTTTCCTATAATTTTGCAAATTGTTAATTTTATTAAATAAAAAGCTGTTTTAGAATGCTTAAATCCAAGCTCTTTGTCCTTTTAAAGGAATAATTGAAACCATTTTTGGAATTCTTTATCATGAAAGGAATTAGGAAAAGAGTTATATTTTAAAAGACGTAATTTTAAAAATATTTTATTTTTTAAACTTGTTTTGCGAGTTTTAAGTCTCCACTTTGACATTGTCTTCTGCTTCCTGTCATTATGCTCTGTGGTATGACCACTTTACTTTGTGTGCTCTATCTTTTCCTTTCATTTTGCTTGTTTAAAAAATTCTTGCGTAGGAGACTAAACCAATATACTGTAATGCCTAATTGTTATATCACCACTAGATGGCGCAATAGAACGTCAGATCTGTAGGCTTGACGGGTGGGTGTGTGGGTGTGTGTTCGTGCGCGCACATGCCCGTGCATTTTAGGGAACTCTTACTCCATCTTGTGGCGATAACATATAATTATATAAAGTACTCTTGAATTCCCAATACATAGTTATATATGTGTCAGTGACTCTGCGTTACCTTGTCAGGCATCGCTCCAGTTATAAGTCAATTAGCATTAGTTATTTGGTTATTAATAAATAAATATAGCCAGTGCATTAGGATTTGTGTGTGGTTAAAGATGAAAATATTATTACTTTGGTGTTTTGTCTTTTTACCTAAAGTTTGTGTTTAACTCTTGAGATATAAACCGGGCAAGCAAAGTGTCAGATACATCTGTTTAAATGTCTGAATACCTGACCTGTGTAGTTAAACCATATGGCAAGTTAGTGAATAGATCCTCCCTGGAACATGATAAAGTTAGATGTTGATCTTCTAACTGGAACAAATTATTACACAGTCAAATGACAGAGCTAGGATTTGGACTCCATAGTTCAGTCCAGAGTCCATCTTAACCAGATTGTTCTTTGGCAATGAGAAAGGCATGAACACTGACTCTAAAACTTAACTGTACTGATTCTTAACTATTTAAGTCAGGATTTGATTCTTATAGTTAAGACTCAATATTTTTTATGACAGACGTCCTCTGCAGTCTAGTGAAATATCTCAATCCAGTCCTTGCCAGGTGTGGTGGTGCACACCTGTAATTGTAGCTCTTGGGAGACGGAAGCAGGGGGTTACCATGAGATTGAGACCAGCCTGGGCTACAAAGCAAGACCCTATCCCAAAAAAACCAAGACATACATGCACACATAAACATACATTAAAGGCTACACCCTCTTTGGGAAAAAACTATATAAGAAATAATGTCATTCTTATGGTTAAATATTTTCCTAGAATTGGATCGGGTAAAATAACTAAATTGTACATTTTATTGGAAATCCACTTAGAAATTTTAAAGTAGTTTAGTGTTATTATTGCCAAATGAAGATACTGGACTACTCAGAAATAATGATATTCTAGTCTTAAAAAGGTTTGAAGGAGATGTGCCACAAGGTTAATTAAGAGGAATCACACCTGTCTTTTTACTGTTTGCCAATTTCCTGAATTCTTTACAATGATTCTGTGGGCCAATTAAGAATGACTTGGTTAATAGAATATTGCACGTATTAGCTTCAGTAAATTAAAAAAAAAACAAACCTCTGTGCCATTTTTGGTTTTCATCCAGTTGAACTCCAAGTCTATAAAATTAAGTACCTTTCTCATAATATTCTAAGATGAATTAGACCTTTATTACAATACAAACGTGCACAGTTCTCCAATGTCTAATGTTAAAATCTTCTGATTTCAGGTCAGTGTCTGCAGGCTTAATCGAAAGTGAAGCTTTTAATAAATCGATGCGCAGACTTTGAGGGAAGATCAATGAGATCCAAAATTTAGTATGTAGAATTCTATATACCTGTAGGTTGTTTGGGGAGAAAAGCCATAGCAGTCATCAGATTCCTACAAGGGTTTAAGAGAGTAAGTTTAGTAACTGCTGGTCTAGAGACAACTTGTTTGTTAGAAACAAGAGTTCTAGCCTGGCGTCTCTCACTCAGTTACAATCCTTCATTTCCAAAATTGCTCACCTCCTAGTGTTGAGAAAATCAATGTAATGCATCTAATATTGCCTGGCATACAGGGAGCACCCAGTGAACAGCAGCTAATTAGGGCGAAGCACTGGACAGACTATCTTCAGGTATTAAAAGGTGAAGGTGTTTTCTCCAGTAAGGTAGGAACATGACTAAATATTTGTGTGTATTTAATATACTCAAAACGTTTTAACAAAGTCTGATTCCTTTACTTGTCTGAAAATAAGTTGGGGATGCGTTTCTGCTCTGTGGTTCACTTACCTCCATGTGAGAGTTTTTCACTGTTGTTTCACTGACTTGAAGTGACAGGAGTGTGATTTCCGTGAAGCAGGCATCTGACCGTGAATCTGAAATGTCTTAATTTCTCCCTTTCTAGTTCATCTCCCTTGCTTATTTGGCTAACAGTTTTGCTTGTCACACTTTCCTGGGCCTGACCACGGATCTCTTTCTTCTGCCCCCTCCCAGGCTGCAGTTCCTGAGCAGGAGGTGAGACTTGGCCTCCCTGGGGCCTGGCCTAGGCTCAGCGACACTCAGCGAGTCCCCGCCACACACTTCCACGTGTACCGAATCTTGTGTTTCAGAAATCATGCTTTTGTTCACTTTTGAAAGTCTGCCCTGGAATATTTTTGATAATTTTTAT